ACCTGAATTAGCTGATTGATTGATGATCTTGGAACCGGACAGAGAAGAGGCTGAACAATCAGAGGCTGCAGGAGGCCCATTTACCGCTGAACATTAAAGGAGCCGTCTGGATTTTGGCTGCAGTGAGGTGTCTGACTTTAGCACAGATGCAGTATTTTTCTGGACAACTTTTGAAGTTATTTAAAGGAGAACTATGGGGTCAGGGCTTTTCCCCATAGTTCTCCTTAGGGTAACGGGAGGACACAAACTAGCGTCCTCCCGTCACCCTAGGCTCAGTATACAGCAAGATGTAGCTCGCTGTATACTGAGATGAGACGCCGCAGCTGAAGCGGATCCCGACAATTATGCCGTGATCCGCCCAGCTGCGTGACTGACAGACAGACAGAGCATCCCAGGTTGTTAAGAGCTGGGTACAAGTATGTGTATGGCCCTTATACATCTCCCTGCCCGGCTCTTAGCAACCTGGCATGCTCTAGCCGGAAAGAGGGCACAGGCACGCCGCAAACATTGTGCGGCATGTCAGCCGCCCCCCCCCCCCCCCCCCCCCATGTGATCCAAAGAGATGCCACCTGAGGCTAAAGCCTCAGACCTACTCATTAAGGGTACAGCCCTGCCGTTGCTGGACCACTTAGTGTTCCAATATCGGGCACCTGCTGCTGCTCTGCAGATTGCACTGGAAACTTAAAACTCTATGCCCAGCTAAGTGTTGATTCCTATAGCCCAAATGCTTCTTATCTCAGGAGCCCTGATGCCAGCTTTCCCCAGGATGGGCCCCATATCTACTGCATGGGCTGATATTGTGGTCGTTCCACCTGTGTTTGGAACGTTTGTATAACGTGAACTAATATCTATACTCGCGGAAACAAAGTCCATAGTAAGTTTAACTTCTTGCAAGTTGGCTCATATCTATCAAATAGGATGACGATGTCATTACCGAAGGCTCAAGTTAGAAAACCAAAAATTTTACCAATTGTGTAGCTCCTCTATCAGCCACCTTAATAAAGGAGACCTCCATGACTCGGAAATATTGGGTTTCTGATATGAATGTGACCGTGGTGTGCTAACTTTTGCTATTTGTCAGCAACAAAACCTGACTGGGTTCTAACTAATACCTCCTCTGTCCAAAAATGTTACCAATTGTTGTGTAGCCCCTCCATCAGTAATGTACTAAAGGAGACCTCCGTGAAATATTGGGTTTCTGATATGGATGTGACCGTGGTTGAACTCGATGGATATGTGTCTTTTTTCAACATGACTATGTAATTTTGTAACTATGGTGTGTTGACTTTTGCTATTTGTCAGCAACAAAACCCGACAAGGGTTCAAACTATTTCCTACTCTGTCCAAAGCAAATGTGGCATTTGATACACTTTTAATCTCTTTTGCAACTTTTATGTTATTTTCCTGTTTCCAGTTTTTGTTCTTATAGAATTCGACGTTGCCCTAAAAGCACATCGGCAAGTTAAAAGGCGGTCGATGGTTCTGCAGCGCGGGCATGTTTTGCATCGTGTCAGCGCTGTTCTGATCTCTGACACAGCCGTAAATTGAGGGCCTGTTTAAGGTCTGGCACCTGTGCAGGAAATAGGACATTCCGCTTACCAACACTTCGTCTCTGTGTTCCAAATGGTCGCTCCTATTATCCGAAAGAAGAAAATACTTTGCTATGGAAAC